TCCAGATTTTTGAAGATTTCTGTTAATTTTCTCACAGATATATATTGAAAACCTGAGAAAGTTCTGAAAAAAACATTAATAATCAATAAAAATTCAAATTTCGCGCGCTTTGCCTTCGCAGTTGGCCTAGAAAACCCCCGACTCGGCCACCAGAAACAACTTTGCTTTTTCGATGCGGTTTTTTTTTGCATTTTTATGGGAATCCACATAGATTTCTGCGTCAGATGAAGCAATAAAAATTTAAATTAAACAAAATATTAAAAAAAAACATTTTAGATACAAACGCCAAATGGAGCTGATCATAACGGAAAAAGTGAAAGAAATGGAGGAGGCCGATCATCAGAAGCAGCTTCTTTAAGCAATTTTTTTCGATTTATTTTTAGTGCCAAAATTATTGTTTAGTTCAAAATTTCTCCTTACCTCACTTTTTCGTTTTTTTGAAACATTTTTTTGTACATAAATTTTTTCGTCGTTTTTTTTAAATTCTTCGTTTGATGTCGTATGGTTTCTTGTGCCATTTTTGATATTTGAATTTTTCATAAAACTAAAGATTTAAACTTTAAAAAAATCCAAAATTTCCAGAAAAATGGGAATGTGGGAAGATATCAACAACATCACATGGCAAGACTTCGAGGCGTGGACCAAGACTACAGACTTCATAATTACCGTAGTCGTCATTGTGGTTTTTTGCCTGGTAGTCTGTGTGGTGGGCCCACTTGCCTGGTATCTGTGAGTTTTTTTTTCCAAACTGTATTTTAAAAAATCCGCCAAAAGAAAATTCTCAATAGAGCGCATTTTCAGCTCTCACAAGTACGCTGAATCGCGAACGATTATGCTGGAAAATGGTCCAGAGGCGTATGACGAAGATGATCCACGTAGAGAACGAGCCAGGGTGCTCCGCCACGAGCACATGCGACAGCTAGCCGAGAAGAATCGTCGAAAAGAAGCCAAACGCCAACGATTCATCGAAGGACGGACCCCCTACCAGAGGTACAACGCCGTGGTGATGGAGATGGGAATTCGGTATGATGCATTCCGAGAACGGATAAGCGATCGTTGGCAAAACTGGCGGTATTCTGCACCGCCACCAGGACCTCTTCAGCAGCGTCCGGTGGAGCTGGACTCCTTGAACGGTTGATTTTTTTTTCCTACTACATCAGTGTTTCTTTTCTGTTAGCTCTTCCAAAATTTCCAATTATTTACCTCCTCAGATTCGTGCTTTCTACTTTCTTCGTTATTATTGTTGAACTATTCCTTGTTACTCGCTTTATCTCTGGGCATAACTCTTCGCTATCTTTTCTAGAACTAGATAATAAACATCTTTTTACATTTTAGAGATCTTTGTTGCAATTATGGGGGAAAGAAATGAAAGAAAAATTGGGGGACATATATAATTACTCTTAAAACTAATATTATTCAAATAATGACAACCGGAATCGAGCGTCTTCACACTCAGCATTGAAACAAATCGAGAAAACAATTATAAACACATTGAAAGTGAGAACACTTAGTTCAGGAACATTCCCATGACTCCTCCCGCCTCCGCTTGCTCCTTGACGAACGTTTCAAAGTATTGGTAGATGATTGTGACGGCCAAAAGGATACCAGTTCCCGATCCGATGGCTCCCATGAAGTCAGCAGTCACAGAGAGAGCTCCAACACAGAGTCCTCCGAAGGCAGCGGCAGTTGGGATGTACCTGTTGAGCTCGTGGATCATCGACGCCTCACGGTGACCTCTCATAACCATCTGTCTATCCTTAAGTTGCTTGGCAACGTCCTTGGCAGAAGATCCGGACACATCAATCCAGGATTTGGAGAAGAAGGCACAGGTTCCGAGCATGAAGACGATGTAGACGATGCAGTGAAGTGGATCATTGTACATCTCTGCGAAGGAGTGTGGTGGGGATAGGTAGTAGCAGAGTCCTCCGGTTGGGATGCCTCTCGCGTTGTTATCATCACCCCATTTTCCGAAGATGTCAACGAAGATGTTTCCTCCCCACTTGTTAGCGAGCATCTGGAAAAAAAAGAAAATGACTTTTTGAATTTTTGAAGGTCGTTTTCCTAGTTTGACCCAAAAAGAAACTGATAATCAATTGCAGGGAAGCCGACCTTCAAAAATCAATAATCGATTTTTGAAGGCTGGATTCTTAGCTTGAGTAAAAACAAACCTGAGAGATGACGAAGATATTGGAAACAAGAGCGGATTGCAGAATAATCGGCATGTTTGAGGTGTAGAAGAGCTTGATTGGGTAGGTAGCATACTGTCCACGCTGGCGAGACGACTTGATCGGAAGCTCAACTCGGAATCCTTGCAAATAGATAACAATCGAGAAAATGAAGACAGTAGCCAACAAATTCATCAAATTCGGGAGATGTCCACGATAGAACGCCTCACGGAGAGCTCGAATCTTGTCGGAGCGGGTGGCGAGAAGATGGAAGAGAGCGATGGCGGCTCCTTCGAACTCAGTACCACGTCCACTGTTGATAGTAGCTGGCGAGAACGTTTTCCAGATGATTGTCTCGCAAATGTTGGTGGCAATGAAGAGAGAGATTCCCGAGCCAAGACCGTAGCCGTTTTGAAGGAGCTCGTCGAGAAGGAGGACGATGAGACCGGCAATCGTGAGCTGGACGACGAGAAGGAGGCAAATTCCGGCTCCAATCTCTGATGGGTCGCCGTACATACCAGTCATGACGTAGACAAGGGCTTGTCCGATTGTGATCAACATTCCGAACACTGAAAATTGTTAGAATTAGAATGAAAAGCCTTCTAGACGGCTTACACTTCTGCGAAGCGTTGAAAAGAGCGCGTTCCTTCGGCGAATCTCCAACTTCGATGACCTTAATACCCGCGAGCAGCTGCATGATCATTCCGGAAGTGACGATTGGCGAGATTCCGAGCTCCATCAGCGTTCCACGATTCGACGCCATAATGGCACGCATCCAGTAGAGGGGGTCGGCAGAGTCGGATGTCATGATGCCGAAAAGTGGGATTTGACAGCAGACAAGGTAGATGAAGAGCGTCACAGCCGTCCACATCACCTTCTCGCGGAACTGAATCTTCCGTTCTGGCTTCGCCACCTCGGGCACAAACGAGCAGAACGGTTTGATGTATTCTAGGAACATCGCTGAAAAAAGGGGGAATTTTTCAGCATGTTCAGGGAGAAAAACAAGAGAAAACGGGAAAATTGATAAGAAAAAGAGTAATTAGACTGTGAAGCCCACGAAACAATCGGCAAAAACCACAAAACTGCTTCTGAAAAACCCAAAAAAGGAAAATGAAAAAATGGGAAATTTGAAGCAATTTCAGTGAGAAAAAGAAGGGAAAACAGGGGAATTCGATGAGAAAAAGGGTATTGTGACTATCCGACATACGAAAAAATCGGGAAAATCCCAAAACTGTATCTGAAAAAGCCCAAAAATAGCTTCTGGAATCAAGACTCAAATCCAACGAGACAAAACACGTGGAAGAGGCGACACATGCGACAACAAGTGTAACCGTAGTCAAGGTGATAATTATTCCGCGCCAATTCCCCAGTCCCGGTGGAATTTTCGCGGTTGTTTACCCGCTAACAACCCCTTATTTGATTAAAAATAACTTTTTGACTGATATTTGTCAACAAAAACCGAGAAATTTGAAGCAAAACTTTAGAAAAAGCGCTGAAAATATTGCCGAACTGCAAAACAATTAAAGACGCACATGCGGAAATTTACATGGGTCTCGCAACGATTTTCGCGCGCTACCGAAATTCGAAAATTGCGCATTGCCTATTTTCGAGCGGAATTTCGGGAAATTTTCTTTAAAAAATATAGGAAAAAATGCTGAAAATTTCGAATAAAAATTTTAAAGTAAGCTGAAAATTGATAATTTATTGAAAAATTCTGGAAATTTACAGATTTTTCGTTGAAAACTGCCGAAATTCGAAAATTGTCAACTTCGCCGATTTTTTGAGCATTTTTTGCTGAAAATAAAGAAGCAAATGCTGAAATTATCGATTCAAAATATAAAAAAATAGCGGAAAATTTAATTTTTACATTCTGAAAAGTGTTTTTTTTCTCGAAATTCCTCAAAAATTGAAAAATTTCGAATTTTTAACCGATTTTTCGCTGAAAATTCAATTTTATTTCCAGAAAAAAAGCTAAAAAAAATAAAAAAATAGGGATGCGAAATGTTAAAAAAAACAGAAAGTTGAAATCTTTTTTTTCGAAAAATTCTAGAAATTTCAGTAAAAAACGAATATTCAGATTTCTCGACGAAAGTTCGTTTTTTTGTAATTCTGACAGAAGAGATTCCTGAAAATGTTTTTCCTAAAATTCCACTTCGCGCCAGAAAGATCGCTCCAGAGAAAATCTGAAAACAAAAATCAAAAAATCACAGAAAAAAACTATTTATTCAATTTTCAATTCACTCCTCTTCCTTCTCCAAAATTCAATATCCAAACAAACATTATTAAAGAAGTAACCCAGAGTTAAAATATGCAAAAATGCGAACCCGGCAGTTAGCGGAAATGCAGAAATATTAAAATTGATAACATCCAAAAATCCCTGAACCACTACATTCATCGCGATTGTTTCTCCAACGCCTTCTTGTCCCAAGAAGAAGAAAACTCCGAAAATTCCAGGGGTTACTGTAAGCAGCATGAGAGTAGCCATGATTCTTCGGCACCCATGTTCTCCAATTCTCTCTCGGAGCTTCTGAACTTCCGGGCGCTCCCAAATCTGCCAACCGATTCTCTCCACAATGAGTTCGGTGGCCGAAAGAGTGACCCAGAAAATATAGTGTCTTCTGGTCCCGTGCCAAGCCAAGACCACTCCAAAAACTGCACAAAGAGCTGCAAGCCCTCTTAAAATTGATAAAACCAGAGGTAGGGGTTTTCTCATGACTGGAATGTAGACTTGATGCTTTAAAAATTGATAAAGCCCATTATCAAAATGTCTCCACATCCTGGAGTACAGGGAGACACGAGATATGCAAATGGGTGGTGGGGGCGGTTGAAATCCATCGAGGGCCGCGAAAAAGGCGGGTACACCGAAAATGACAACGTATTTGACATGGAATAGTTGACCAGCAACGTAGGCGATTGCGCAGACTGAAAAAATTTTTCGATTTTTTTGAATTTTTTTGGGGCACAGTTGACCTGAATACCAGTCAATTTCCAGGCCATTTGCTATGATGGGCCAGAAAAGCCAAATTGCAAAAGTTAGGCCACCATGTTTGAATGATCTAGAAAACACGCCAGGTGGATATCAGGCCATTTCTAGGTCATTTACCATGGTGGCCTAACTTTTGCAAGTTGAATTTTCTAGGCCAACACCTTTTTTGGCCTAGAAATACCCAGATATTGACTTGGCGTGTTTTCTATGCCATTTACCATGGTGGCCTAAAAAGTCATGTTGAAAAAGTTAAGCCACCACACTCACATGGCCTAAAAAATACGCCAGTCGAATATGAGACTATTTCTAGCTCATCTACTATGGTGGCCTAGAAGACTCCACTTGCAAAAGTTAGGCCTCATGTTAAAACAGACCAGAGAACACACCAGTTGAACACCAGATCATAGAAATGGCCTTATACTTATCTGGTGTGCTTTCTAGGAAATTTTTAAATGGTGGCCTAACTTTTGAGAGTTTAGTTTTCTAGGCCACCAACTTTAATTTTTTGAAAATTCTTTCAATCTAAATGTTCGAATTTAATTTCGAAAATATTTCAAAATCAGCCATTTTCTTGAAAAATAGCGCCTAATTCGAAAAAGGGGGCGGAGCCTACAAACATACCTTCATAAACATTCAAGCTATTGACCAACGAGTCCGGCGAATTGAACAACGCTTGCACATGAATGAAATGCAATAAAAAATCGATAAATGCACCCCAAAAAGCCAGCCGTACTCCAAACCAAATCGCACTTTTTTTCGTCTCCCAACAAAAAATCTCTCGATTTTTTTCCCATTTTTCGAATTGCTCTTTGAAGTCCTCGAAACGAACGATTAGTGTCATAGAGTACGGTAGGTAGGAGAAGTAGAGAAGTGATTCTTCCAGAAGTTTCCAGAAATTTCTGAATTTTGGACCATCGGAGAGGTAGAGGGCAAAGTTCAGAATTTTGATGGATCCGTATAAATAAATATTGAATTCCCGGTAGAAAATATGGGTTCCAGAGCTGAATGGGACGTATTGAGTGGCTTTTGCAATGAAACTGATGCATAGAATCCAGGGAACGAGTTTGGCTCCGCCCATCAGCCACGTGGCAAAAATTACAGTAGCTGCGAAGGCGTAGAGGACCACGATGCATTGGAAACTGAAAGAAAATTGAATTTAGAGGTTTTAGATTTGGCGGGAAATTCAAAAATTTTGATTTTCAGAAGTTCCTATAACTTCTAGAATTTTACTTTTTTTAATTTTCAAAAATTTCAACACGATGGTCTAACTTTCGCAAATCGAGTTTTCTAGGCCACCGTAGTAAATGAACTAAAAATAGCCTAATATTCGTCTTGTGGGTTTTCTATGCCATTTTAACATGGTGGCCTAACTTTCTCTACATGATTTTTTTAGGCCACCACATTAAATGGCCTAGACAAATTTCAAAATCAAAATTGCTACCTGCTCATATGAATATGGACCAAAAAACCCGTCAAAATGAGTGCATAACGAGAGATTGGAGACGGCAGACAGTGTTTGGAGAGGTAGATTCTGGAAAAATGGCTTATTGGGAATTTGAAAAATTGAAAAATTCAATTTTTTGAATTTTTTGAAAAATTAGGTCAGAAAAATCTAGGTCACGACGTAGAAAAAATTAGGTCATGACCTACAAAAAACTAGGTCATGGCCTAGAAAAATCTGGGTCATGACCTAGAAAAACTAGGTCACGACCTAGAACAAACTAGGTCATGACCTAGAAAAACAAGGTCATGACCTAGAAAAATTAGGTCATGGCCTAGAAAAATCTGGGTCATGACCTAGAAAAACTAGGTCACGACCTAGAACAAACTAGGTCATGACCTAGAAAAACTAGGTCACGACCTAGAAAAAATTAGGTCATGGCCTAGAAAAAAAATAAGGTCATGACCCAGAAAAATTTAGGTCATGACCCAGAAAAATTTAGGTCATGACCCAGAAAAAAAAAGGTCAAGACTGAAAAGGTCATGAAAAATTAGGTCATGACCTAGAAAAATCTGGGTCATGACCTAGAAAAATCTGGGTCATGACCTAGAAAAATCTGGGTTATGACCCAGAAAAAACTAGGTCATGACCCAAAAAAAAACAAGGTCATGACCTAGAAAAAATTAAGTCACGACCTCGAAAAATTAGGTCATGACCCAGAAAAATTTAGGTCATGCCCCAGTTTTTTTTTTCGAAATTGCTCACCCTAAACTGTGCAGACCGTAATCCAGTAGTAAATGCCATACAGTTTGCCTATAATACGCCCATTCAGCATCCGACAAGTCCATTTTCCATCCGGGCAAATAGCTGGAAAAACTGTTTTCTTTAAAGGCGCATATCTCAAAAAATACGGTAGGTATCAAAAAGTAGTTAACTACAAAAATGTAAAACATAAAATTTCATATATTTTCGTAGTTGATTATTTTTGAATAGCTTTTTTGGTTTTTGAGATATGCGCTTTTGAAGTTATAGCGTCGGACAAAAAAACGCCTACTTAAAAGGCGCATGTCTCAAAAACTACGGTAGCTATCAAAAAGTTGCTCACAGACAAAATACGCAAAATTTTATGTTTCACATTTTTGTTTTTTGTAACTTTTTGCTCGCTATTCTAGTTTTCGAGCTATGCGCCTTGGAACTTTACAAACCTACTATCCTGCATCCAATGCTTGATCCATCCCTTGGCTTTTCCATTCGAGACCCAATAAGCGATGACAAAAGCGAAAAGGGAGTGGAAAATCCAAATGGACCATGCTAAAACCCTTTCGGGTTTTGGAAGAGGTCCAGGGATACTAGGTGACGACGTTTTCATATTGTAGTTGTTGGAAGAAGACGTCGGGAAAGTGGGCACATTTTCTGTAAATATTAGGAATAAAAAGAACGTAGTTATGATGTTTGTGGAAGTGTATAGTAAGGAAAACATTTGTTATTGGTTAGCATACATAATGGGGTCGTGGCTGGCCGTAACGAGAAACTATGAGTTACAGTATCATTGTTCTAAGAAAAAGCTATTATTATTGTTGTCTGAGAAAAAAAGGTTAGAGAGTATTTTTTGCAGTCTGAATACGGTAGCAAGCTCGAAGCGGCAAGCCTAAATAGCACATATTAGGTGGAGACGCAGAGAAAAACTGTCTGCGTCTCAACCTTTTTTTCTCAGACGACAATAATTTCCATTTATCAATTTTTCAAAAAATTTCAATTTTTAATACTCAAAAAAAGAATGATTCTCGAACGTCTATTTTTATCATCTATTTTGAGCAAATTTGAATCCGAAAAATGTTTTGGTCGGAATCTTCTCAGTCTATAGTTATTTTATTTTGATAAACATTAGTTTTTCTCGATTTTCCTTACAACTTTTTGAAACTGTGAATAAAAGATTTTTCTCTGTTTTATCAGTTGCTCATTCTTGATTAATCTAATAAAGAAATTCAAAAGATTTCTATCAATACTTGAGCTTATTGAAATTTGGAAAATCACATTTTTAAAATTAAAAATTCTTGAAAACGATTGTAAGCACGCTCTACTGCATTCTCAATAATCTCACTTGGGTTCAGCCAATGGGTCAGAAGTCGCGCCCCAGTAAATGTGAGATTTTAGAAAAAATTCGCTGCTGAATTATGTGGCTGAGGATCAAACTTTTAAACGTTGGACAAAAAAAAAATCACGCGTTGCAACTCCTTGATAAAAACTAATTAGGTCAAATCCACGTCAACTTGGAAATTATTAAATTTCTTCTATCTTTTTGTTGAAAATTTCGAAAAAAAAGCGGTTACACTTGGGTTCAAGCCAACGGGTCAAAAACGCGCTCCAAATAACTTTTAGGCCAAAAGAAATTTCATAATTTCCAAGTTGACGTGGATTTCACCTAATTAGTTCTAATCAAGGAGTTGCAACGCGTGATTTTTTCGTGCAACGTTTAAAAGTTTGATCCTCAGCCACATAATTCAGCAGCGAATCTTTTCTAAAATCTCACGTTTACCGGGGCGCGATTTCTGACTCATTGGCTTGAATCCAAGTGCGGTTAAAGGGGGCGTCCGCTAATTCCAAAATTTTTGAGATTTTCATATCAGAAGTTTGGGTCGGGAAGAAAATTCCCTTGGAGCATAGCCAGAAAATCACTCGTTCTTAAGATATATGTCAAAAACAGGTCATAATAAAGACGTGAATTATTTTCCCTATTATTCTCCCTAATCTGCGCCCTCTACGTTGATTTTTGTTGACCTGTTTTTGGCATATATCTTAAGAACCAGTGATTTTCGGACTATCCTCTAAGAGAGTTTTCTTCCCGACACAAAATTCTGGACCGATTGATATAAAAATCTCAAAAATTTTGGAATTAGCGGACGCCCCCTTTAAGCAAATAATGTGTTAAAATAAAAGTAGAAAACTTTTCTGAAATTTTTGAAACCTTAAAAATTGCGATTTTGATGTTTTTTCATACATGTAAGCCAAAAAAATAAATGATAACAAAAGTCACTCAAAAATTGGAACAATCTGAAAAAATATAATTTTTAGAATTCCTGAAACGGCAAAAATTCAAGTTAGGGTATTTTCAAAAAAACAAGAGATCCGCAGTTAATGAAAACCTTTTCAGAACCTTCCCAAAAAATAGAAATTATTTGAACAAAGAATTTAAAAAAAATATGAGCAACTTGTTTAGAACATTCTGGAACTTTGAAAAAATTCGGAAAACATTGAAATGGTGCAAACCTAGAACAGAAAGCTGAGTTATCATAAAAATGTGTAAAAATCAAACAAAAATAAAAGAAGGGTGTTGGGAAATAAGTTCTAACGTAAGACCTGAGACGTAAGACCTTGTCGTTGTTCGTGAATGTTTGCTTTCTCTCTCTCTCTCTCTCTCTCTCTCTCAAAAGGAGGAAAACTGTGTGAAACGTAGGGAGACAACGTACTTGTTTTCAAAAGACACCCCCCCCCCCCCCCCCCACTTAACCATTCTTTTCACATAAGGTGACCTTGAAAATCGCCACGGTGACCGAGCATTGGAATAAATGAGGTATGGGATGGAAGAGGAGAAGAAGCGATTATAAAACAGAGAAAACTTTGGGATTATATGGAGTGGAAATTGGAATTATTGGAGTCAAAAATAAAATTCTTTGAAGTTAAAAAAATGCATTTTTTTTCGATCGTTTTTTAGGGCCCCTACGTTTGACCCAACTTGGATAGGTTCCTATAAAAGATATCAAAAAGTTGTCAACTGATAGTGAAAGAATGTAACTGATAAGATGATAATCATTTTTTCAGTGGACAAGTTTTCGATAGCTCTCACAAGAACCGAGATAAACTAGCTGAAACTTAGTAGCTCAACTCATTGAGAGGTGCAGGCTGAGTTCAAATTTACTGTTTCTATAGAAATTGGAACAATCAACTAAAATTTAATAATTCAAGATCTTCATAGCATATTTCCTAGTTTTGAGTTTCCAGCCAGAGCGAAAATAATGGTTTTCGAAACAAACAAATCCCCGAAAAATTCAACAGTTCAAAAATGTTACTGTTTCGAAACATTGGTTTTACTGTACCAGATAACGTCAAATCGTTGAGCCAGATCCTTGCGCTTCAGACCCATCTGGATGCCCTGAACGACCGCTTCTTGGACCGCCAAAGTAGACGTTTTGTTGTTATGTTTTCTACCCATCTATAGGAACAAAACTCATTACAAACAAACCAAAAAAATTGAAAAAAAAACAAAAAAAGTGAAAACTCTGAAAAACTGAAAAAATTCGAAAATATGATTTTTTTTAGCAATTGCGCGTCTGATATGGTGTCTGCGGACTTGATATTTTTTTGGAATATTTCTGAGCCTTTCAAAAACATACATACGAAATTTCAGAGTACTAGCTCTCATAGTTTTTAAGATACTCTCGAAAAACTAAAAGTTGATTTCTTTTTGTCCGGTACTGTATCACTGAATCAATGATGATTCTAAAATTGGCTTTCGAAAAGAATGGTAAGAAAATTCTAGAAAACTCTCTGATAGATATTGAAGTAGATTCAGGGATTCGAAGTTTGAGAATCTGAAATTGTGTGTTTCAAAAACTATGTATTTCTTCAAATTTTCATTTTTTCATTTTCTGAGTCTTTCATTTTCTGAGTCTTTCATGTCCTGCCCTCTAATGTTTTATTACACCTGATCAATAAACAAATTAAAATTAAATTAAAAAGCACAATTTAACTGATATTGACAACATGCATGAACCTTAAGCTAACAAAATTATATGAAATTAACCAATACTAATGCAGTCAATGCCCTAGGAAGTCCCAAAACGTTTAGTTGAAACGGCAAAAAAACATAGAAATCGGAAAATCAAAATAAAATTTTCCGACAAATACAGTAAGAATTTTGTTTTTCAAAACAATTAGTTTCAGTTTCAAAAATGCAGTTTCAGAATAAGAATAACTAAAGGTTTTTCTTTTGAATTTTTTTTGCAGAAGTCAGCTTAACGAAAAGTTAACAGAAATAAAAGGATTACCAGTTTCAATGAGTTTTCTAAAGATTGAAACTTCTCTTCAGAACTTATTATTAGCAACATATTTTTCTTTAATTTCTCGAATTCAAAACTTGTTTTCATTTTCTAAAACCAAAACTTGGCGGGAAATAAGAAACATTTTTTGTTGAAAGTGAGCTGATAAAATTACAGGAATATCTTCTTTTTTTTTTCCAAAAAGAAACTTTCTTGAGGTTTTTCATCCTGGAGAATCGAAAATGTCAAAATTACTTTAATTAACAATTTTTTAAATAAAAAACATTAGTTGCGGTTTCAGAATAAGCATAACGACATAAGTATTTCTGTAGTTATGTTTCACCAGTGTTCTCGAACGAAACAAATTCTAATATAACTGTTAACAATAGGATTTTGAGTAGTTGTATCAAACCTCCATCAATCGGAAATACCAAAAAACTGCATTTCAGATCATACACTTTGACAAATCTAAGTATATTGCTTCTGGACGAAATTTGATAAGGTTTTTTGTTGATATTGATAGGGAATTATTTTTGATCCAGAAAAACCCGATCCCGAACATCCTGGACAAAATTTTCAAAAGATACCAAATTTCCATTAATCGGAAGCAACTAAAATAAAGAACAAAATTACAGTAAGAATATGTCTTTTTTCAAAAAGAGGAGTTCCAAAAATTTTAAAGTAGCCGGATATAATTATCTTTCAAGTTTGCACCTCTTGAGATTTAAAAATCCTATGGAGAGTTGAAAATATCAAAACTACTTCTGATTAATTTTTTTTCAAAAAAGTTTTGTTTACTGTTTCAGAATAAGCATAACCATGTAGGTATGTCTGTGGTTATGTTGCGTCAGTTCCTAAAATGTTAACATTCCATTAACAAAATCCCCTCGAGTAGGTAAACTTACTGTCAATATATTGGAGGTGCTGAGCTGCACGGTTGCAAAAAATAGTTTGAAAGAAATCAGCTTCTTCAAAAATGTTTTCGAAAATTTCGTTTTGCTCAAATCAGCTAAACGGAGAAAATGCCGTTTTCTTGTACATATTGCGATAAAGTTAACATTTTGAAACATTAACAATTGAAAAAAAAATCAATTTCAATTTTCATTATGGGCCTCTAAATTTGGTAAAATTCTTCTCTTTCATTTTCCATTTTGCTCCATTATTTTTCCCTCTTCCTTGTTCTCCTATTTTTCTCATTTTCCGCTGTCACTATCTCGTTCTCTGCGTCTCTCGTGCTCCTCACACTCTCCCCATCCCTATTTGGCTGCCCGCGTCTTCTCCCTCTCTCTGCTCTTTTTCAATTTTCGAGCAACATCTCCTTTTTCTTGCTCTTCTTCTTCTCTTGTTTCTTCTACTCCGAAATTTTGCATTTTGCAAACATCGATTCTTCGAAATAAAAATAGACAAAAAAGCCAAGTGACAGGTCTCCAGGACCCTGTGATTTACGACAAACGATGGAGGTGAGCAATCAGAAATTTTGCGCAAATTTTTCTTTTTAGTATCGAGTAAAAGAGCATTCGGAATTTTTTTTTTCGATTTTTCTCAAAATGCCTCCAAAAACAAACCGAAAAACCATTAAAAATAATGAGGGAAAAAAGCATCGCAAGGTAGGTTTTCCTCATAGTTAATTAGAGATGAAAACAAGTGAATTGAAAAACAAATCTAATTTTTTAAAAGTTTTCAATTTCCCCGCCCAATTAGGATAGTCGCGATTATTCGTTTTTAACCTATTTCTAATGGTATTTGAAAACATTTTGGCTTGGCGGGTATCCGAAATATACGGATTACGCAATCATTTAGATACTCAGAAAAGTAAATTTAAAAAATTCGGTATTTTTTTCCTAAAAATTTCGAAACCGAAAAAAATTGTGGATTTTTTTTGTAATCCCGCCAAAAGTGGTACCTCTCAATTTTCGACTTTTGACCTATTTTTAATGATAGTCTCGAGTTTTTCGGTTTGGCGAAACTTGAAACCTCAAACAATGACAATACTAATGAATTAGAGAATTTCGATTTTTTATCTGAAAATTTCGAAACTGAAAAAATAAAAACAACTCCCTCCAAAAATGGAAATTCTCAACTTTCGCCTTTCAAGCTATTTGCAATGGTAGTCGAGAAAATGCACGTTTGGTGCGTATTCGAAATATGGCGAGATACGAAAAACGAAATTAAAATATTCAGTTTTTTTTTCTGAAAATTTCGAAACTTTAAATTTGTAAAAATTTCCTCCGAAAATTTAAAATACTCTATTTTCGTCTTTTTCGATACTATTGATGCTAACTTAGCCAGTTCTAGCGGGAACTTGGAAAATGATAGCCAAGAAATACAGAATCGAAATGCTCAAAATTTTGGTTTCTTCTCTGAAAATTTCAAAACTGGAATTCGATCTGGAACATTTGGTCTTGGTCGAAATTTGAAATCTGCCAGAAAAAATGAGTTCGAATTGGGAATTTAGAAATTTTGGGTTGATTCTGGAAATTTCGAAACAGCAAAAACACTGTTGAGTGCACAATTTGGATGATAACCTAGCCACTTTAAAACTTGAAAAACTATTTGGTGAAACTTCGATATCAAAAATTACAAACACTTGTTTCTTTTTTCTGAAGTTTTTGAAACAGAAAAAAAATTCAAAATCAATATCTTTAAAACTGCAAATTTCAAAAATCCCAGATCGAAGAGGACCGTCTCGGGATGCGAATCCAATCGGAGACCATTGAGTTGACCAAGGATGAAAAAGGAGTTGTTGGTATTTCGATTGGTATGTCTCTTTAAACAAAATTTCAGCATTTTTTCTAGTTTAGTATGAAGAATATGCTTTCAAATCAAATACCGTTTGAGTTTTTCAAAACATTTGAAAAAAAAGCACTTTCTAAAAATTCACTGATTCAGCTACATACCTAATATCTTTTATCTAGTTCTTGTTAGTTTCTAATGCACTAGTGATTCAAAACGAAATTTTGAAAGAGCATAGAATTAATTAGCAAGGGCCTAGAGAACTCCAGAATTTTCGGATTCACAGAAATTTTGCAAATTTTCCAGGCGGTGGCGGTCCATATTGTCCATGTGTGTACGTGGTCCAAGTATTTGACAAGTCGCCAGCATTCAAAGATGGACGGATTAGATGTGGAGATGAGATTGTGGCAATAAATGGGATTACCGTGAAGGGAGAACGAAAATCAGCAGTAGCGCAATTGATACAAGTCAGCTTGAATCCTGTGAAGGTGAGTTTTCAAGAACTAATTTTTACGAAAATTTGGAAAAAAATCAACGATAGACCACATTTGCAAAAATTGTCTAATAAAGGAGGGTGAAAAAAGAGAAACTATGCTAAAATCAGAGACTATGTTTCTGAAATATCTGAAACATTAAAAATTTGAAGAAAATGTTTTTGTTTTGGTCCGGCACTGTATCATTAATCAAACATCTGTAAGCTCATTTTTAAACCTTGTAAACATCATACCTCAGTGAGTATTCAGTACTAAGAGCTTCAAAATGAGTATAATCATGTCTTACTTTCCTTGTTTTTGAAAACCTTGAACCTTTATGCGCCTTGGTGAAAATTCAAAAATATTAGTTTTATGCAAAAATTTAGCAAAATAGAAATGTTATCTTGTTTTATGTAAGAAAAAAAAAACGATTTTCATGGCAATTCCAAAAATCAACGATAGAGCAAATTTTCAAAACTGTTGAGCCGATAGCTTCAAGATAACGGAGTAAAAATCAGAAGCCCGATATCTGGAATTTCTAAAACATTAAAATATTCAATTTTCGAAAAACAACTTTCAGATAACAATAAACAAACTGGACGACGCCAATACCAAAGGCAAGACACTGGACATTTTGATCAAGAAAGTGAAACATAAAGTCGTGGAATTTATGGACCAAGACTCGGCAGATGCCCTAGGCCTTTCCAGAGCGATTCTGACAAATGATCCATTGGCAGAAAAGGAGAAGATACTGGAGGAGAATGCGGAATTCTATAGGCATTTGGTCGCTTATTTTGGCGATATGTTCCAGTATCAACAGAAGATTTCCGAGTGTCAGAAAGGTACGAATTTTGATTTCTCGTATTGATGATCCTTCGCTCGTACAGAATTTTAATAAGATTTTGAAATGGGGAAAACGAAACAAATTGAACCAAAGTCTGAAGATCATCTTAAGGGGACATCTGCTTTTTTCATTTTTATCAGTACAAAAATTGGAAAAAAGGGGGTTCTTTCAGAAATCGGCAAATAGATGAAAACCTAGAAATTTCCGAAAAATTCTGTAAATGCAAAGTTTTGAATCTAGGTCTATTTTACACACTCCAAGATTTTCAAAAGCATCGGAAACTGGACAACCGAGATTGAAGCTTAACATTATCGACAAGTTCTAGTTCGAATCAGGGCTTTGTTAAAAAATGTTCCCCGTTTTTAAAGATTATTAAAGTACTTTTCAAATCAATAGTCTCTAATAGAACTAACTAAATGAAGAATCCGGGAGCTGCCTTTTTTCTTATGTACCGTATGACACCGTTTGAAAATAAATAATTCTAATTCTAAATCCTGAAAATGAAAAAAACGTTTTTTGGTATATCTTATTCACCGGTACTGTATGTGGTTTCTATTAGGTTGGCGGGAAAGTCTTTGTCACTCTGTTTGTTTAATCACTGTTCTCGTATATGGAGGCTGTGTATGATATCGACTCTAGTGAATAACAAGGTGATAAGAACCTTCCATATAAACAAGTCCCCATCTCCTTCCCTGCTCCTCATCTGTAATTGAAACGATATGTTTGTTCCCACTGCTATTCACATCAGACATGTTTTGATTTACCTCTTCCTATCTCACACCACGATGAAGGATTCGGAAACTTTCTTGAAGAATGTGTACAACACACATGCCCCTCACTACAATACTATTCGCAATTGGTTCCATCGTTTCGAAAAAGATGACTTCTCGCTCGATGAAAAGGATCGCTCTGGGAGACCCCGTGAGTTGGATTTGGACAAGCTGAAGCACGCATTGCAATCGGATCCATTTCAATCTAGCCGTGAACTAGCTGTCACATTCGGAGTTCACCATAGCACAGTCCTTGAAGGTTTGAAGTCTCTTGGAATGAGAAAACTTTTTGGTCGATTCATGCCTCATCTCGCGTCTCAAGCCACCCTTGACCGCCGAGTCGACGATTCGATTACTCTTCTCACTCTCCACGCGGGCGATCGATGGCTGGACCGGCTAATAACCGGAGATGAGAAGTGGGTCTTCTACGATAATCACCACAGGAAATCCCAGTGGGTTGGAGAAGGAGAGAGCCCACAGGATGTCCCCAAACCCGACCTTCATCCGAAAAAAGTTATGCTCTCTGTGTGGTGGGGAGTGGACGGCCCCATCTACTGGGAACTTCTGCCCGAGGGCAAAACAATAACTGGAGACCTCTACACTACTCAACTACGAAACCTCAAGAAAGCAGTCGACCGTTCGGCCCTGAAAGACAAGAAAGTGTACTATCAACATGATAACGCTCGCCCACATGTTTCGAAACAAGTGAAGCAGGAGCTGATGGGATATGGATGGAATGTTCTCCCTCACCCCCCGTATTCTCCTGATCTTGCTCCTTCCGACTATTGGTTATTTGGCGATATGACACGTGCCTTCGAAGGAAGAAGCTTCAATTCCCGTGGAGCGGTCGAAGCGGCACTCAAACAATACTTTGCCTCACGCCCGGCTGGATTCTACCGCAATGGAATCCATAAATTGAGGGAACGTTGGAGACATGTTGTTGATAATGATGGACAATATAATTAATTATTCGGTTATTTTTTCTTTGAGAAATAAACTATTGAAAAAGTGACAAAGACTTTCCCGCCAACCTAATATTTGACTCATAACTTTCTTCGAACTCACATTTTTGATTCCTTCCTATTGCATTTTGTAGAACCTAAAACCTTTTACAAGACTGTAGAAAACACTTTTACTTCACGTGAAATTCGTATTGAGAAATGACCGCTAGTCTTATAATTGGTGAGCATTTGAAACAGTCAATTGTTGGAGCCCTACAGAAGTAGTTCACAATTTCCGGAGTCGTCTGGAAATTGCAGAATATACTAAGCAGAAATAGAGCTTTAGGTTCGTAATTGACAACTTTTTTATACAGTTTCATCGAAGCGTCAAAAATGCCGAAGAGCTGAAATGGGAGTTATATAACTTCAAAACCGCTTATCTCATTTTGTTGGCTTAAAGTTGTCAACTATACAACTGAAGCTCGATTTTTGTTTAGTATAATCTGAAATTTTCCAACAAATTGAAAAGTTCGGGACTATTTTTGTAGGACCTCAAAGTTAACAATGTTTCACTGAAAAAAAAGAAAAATACCCCTTAACATTTTCTAAACAACATAACTTTGTTAACTTTCAATATTATAATATGAAAAAAAGATTTATAAATTTCTCGCACTAATGGCTTTAAAATGAGTATAATCATGACCTACGTTTCTTGATTTTCAAAATCTGGCGGGAAATTCGAAAATTTGAATTTTATGCAAAAACACAGTAAGATAAGAATGTTATGAACCAATTTGGTTCAACCAAATAACACAATCTATCTGGAAATCCCTAATTTTGTATCTGTAAACTAAAAACAAACATTTTTCGAAGCCTATGAAATGAAAAGTGAAACAGCGAATTCCAGAATTCGGTTCCATCTTCTGTGACCTGGCCGCCCATGAGAAGCAACAAACCGCGAACGAAGCGTTCAGTGCATTTGGTGATAAGCATCGAATGATAGCAAAGAAGCAGTCCGAATCAGCAGTTCCCCTTCAAAAAATGGTATCGGATCTTCAAGTTTACATAGATCATGTGGTCCCAGACACAAGGCTAACAATCAAAAAGTACTTGGATGTCAAATATGAATATTTGTCTTACTGTTTGAAACTAAAAGAATTGGATGATGAAGAAGTGGAGTTCATAGCTATCCAAGAGCCGCTGTATCGTGTGGAAACCGGCAATTATGAGTATAGGTGAGAAGGCGTGGCGGGAGTTTCAATTTTTTACTTTTTTAAAACACTTCAGAATGATGCTCCGGTGCCGTCAAGAATGTCGTGGGAGATTCATGAAGATGCGTGACGACGTTATGGTCAAAATCGAGCTACTCGATCAGAAACACGTCAGAGACATTGCTCAGCATCTAGCGACATTCGCCAAGACCATGTCTAAGGTTCATTTGGAGTGTGCGGAGATTCTAAAGGATCGGATCGATGTTCCGATTGAAATTGATTTGGAGCAGTTGAATTTGAGTATAAGAGAAGGAGGATCAGGGTCGAATGGAGAAAAGAGTTCAAAGAGGGATGTAGATCAAGGGGAAGCGGTGGAGGTGTTGAATGACAATCCACTGGAAGGTTAGTTTATGGGTCACCACCAAGGTGTCATTCTATTAGTGTGTACGGTATCATAGTTTTAGGAATCAAAAAAGCTGAACATGTGTTCCTTGATTTATAAAAAAAGAACAAATAGAGTTTCCAGTATTGACTAGAATTTCATGCAAAAGTAATTATGAACCATCTGAAACAGAAAATCCATTCAGAGTTTTTTGTTGCCCGTATTTTGACGTAGCGGTGTTTGCAGACACTACAGTATATTTCTTTTAAAGTAAAACATTTGATGATTGAAAACTTTGAAAATTGAAAACAGAAATGAACAATCTGAAACAGTAACCGAAAAATTTTCGCTTTTCAATTTTTTCGGTTTCACTAATTTTTGAAGATTCGAGACTTTTCAGATGAACTATTGTGAAAATAAATATCTTTACTTTAAAACCGCATTTTCCGCATTTTGAGGTGTTTGCAGACACTACAAAGTTTTTTGAAAACCTGTTACCATTGCCCATTGAAATTCCTTAAAATATGGAAAACACTAATGAACCATCTGAAACAGAAATCGAAATTGTGTTTGAAGACACTACAGTAAATTCAAAACAATTTGATCAAAATCTTGTATTGAAAGGCCGGAAAAATGAAAAAAAAAACTCATGAACAATCTGAAACAGTAACCGAAAAATTTCGAATTTTCGATATTTTTCGGATTCACTAAATTGTTAAAACGTCAAAAGTTTTTGGCTGAACTACTGTAGACTGTGAAATTTCGAAAAAATTGAAATCTTAACTTCCAGGAGACCTAATCGACGTGGAAAGTGACGATTTGACATTCCGAGAGTCCTCCAGAATCACTCTACCCCGAAATTCCATTGGTGACACTTCTCAACCACTTCTCGGTTCAGATTCTCCAACAGCAGAGTTGTCCCTAATTGATATTAGTTAATTATCTATCTTAATTGGTCTTAATTGAACACTTGTAAATAAAATTATATTGGCTTCACGTTTTTTTTCAAAATAACAAAGAAGATTATGATGAAGCAAAAAACATTATTTGAATCCAAAGTATTCATTTTTCTTAAAACAGTGAAAAAATGTAGTTTAGACTTGGTTATTCTTCAGATTTCTCTGATTTTTCAGTGGCCTCCGAAACATTTTCAGACACTTCCGAATGGTTATGAGAGTGATCTTCAGATGACGTGACGTCGTCTGGTTTGGTGGATGACGAATATTCATCATCTTCTTCACTGATCTCATCCTGGCCCACCAGTTGCATGTTCATGTTTTTGGATTCCTGAAAAAAAAACATTTTTAGGGGATGAAAAAAGATAAAAATGACTATTGGGGTCAAGGGGATTTGAACTAACAAGTGGTCGCTCGAAACACGGGCGCGCAACCCACTGCGCTATAAGAGCCATTCTAGGGAAGTGTCCACAAGACGTGGAGGAGTTTCAGTTCCTCCATACGGGCTTTGACTTCAAACTAACCGGTAAATATTTCCAAACCACGCCCACTCCACCAGTGCACAGTATCAAATTAATAATGAACAACAGAGGTTCATACCAGAATTTGATGGGCTTTGTAGTCGATGCCATAATAGTTCCAACTTTCATTAAAATGTTCATAAGAGCACCAGCAATCGTTCGAACATCAGTTGGCATCAGTTCAGCCAGTGATAGATAACACGTTTCCAGACAGAGAGATTGAGATGCGTAGGCGAAGATATAGGCTACAGTATACCACCAGGCTTCCTTGTTGTTTGTCCAGAGAGCGATGAGGATAATGATATAGGCACATATGGCTATGATTTGGGAGACTAAGAAAAGCAGACGACGTCCAAGCCAGGGGAGTTTTGGTTCAAGAAGACCTATTGTCTGGAATTCTAGTCTTTTGAGAAAAAAAAGCATTTTTTTAAAGTTTTGAGATTTTTTTCCAGTTTCAGGTAAATCTTAAATTTTGCGAAAAAAATTCATTTTTCAATTCAATTACCGTACGGAAGAGATTATTGCTAAATTTGTTATAAACATTATTTTCTCAGTTAAGCCATGATTACAAGACAATTTTGCCCAAATTTCGAATTTTCAATTGAACGATTAACTCACAATTTTCGACACCGTCAACGCAAATCCACACAAAAATTGTCCGACATAGAAATTCTTCGCCATATCTCCACTGTTCAAATCCGTGATGTAGACGGACATTCCAACGTAGAACCACCTGGAAAATAAAGATAAGCGCGCAGCTGAAATATCATTTTTGAAAGATAATTACGGTAATTATGAAACTGCACATTTTTTAGAGATTATTGGTTTTCTAGAAAAAAGGCTTGTAAACGGACCAAAAACGGACCAAAACATGACCCTTCTGTAGCTTCCTCCAGGATCAATATTTTCAAACCAAATGAATTAGGTAGGATAGAACTCAACAAGACCTACAAAATGACATTATTTTAAATACCGTACTTTGTCTATGAACAATTTTACAAGCCATAAATCAGCTTATCCGGGCATGGCTCTCCTTTTTTTGGCACTGTAACTTTGTTCATAGAGAAGCTAAAATATCCCGAATAGTACGATTTTGTAGTGCTCGTCGAGTTCTATCAAATCTAATAAAATTGGTTCAAATATCTGGAAATTGAAAGCAACTATGACAGTTCCCGTTTTCAAGACTGTTAAAACAGATAGTTTTTTGAAAATCTAAAATCGACTTTTTCCAAAATTTTCAGTTTCAGCGATTCCATTTTTGGGTGTTAAGAAGTTTTGAGTCATTTTGGATTGATGCTTACTCTTCTAATAATTCTCCTCTTTTTCCATTTCTAAAACAGGAAAATATTGCAATTCTCAAGTTGACAGTCGTTTTTTCTAGACACTGATAAACTACTTATTTCGCACTAAATCAAAGTTATGATCTCCATGTTTACAAATTCCAATTTCTGAAGCTTCTGAACGGATCAAAAACGGACCCAAGGCCGGCCGATCCGGGCCGACCAGCCCGTTTCGTCTGTACCTTTGTTCATAGACCACATACAATGGTCCAATTAGTATCATTTTGTAGTACTTGCCGAGTTTCATCATGCTTGATTTAGTTCGCAACTCAATCATAGAATTGAAGAAAACTATCGTAGTTCTCGTTTTCAAGACAGTATAAAACAGAGAATTTTTGAAAATTCAAAATCAATTTTTCCAAAAAAGTTCAGTTTCAGCAATTCCATTTTTTTTAGCAATTCCAGTTTCAGCAATTCTAATTCGAGTATTGAGGAAAATTTTGAGTATTCTCTCTTTCAATATCGTGAAAGTGGAATATCCTAAAACTATTAATTTCATATCTTCAAGGAGCGATTTTTTCAAATTTAATATTCTGCTTTCAATTCTAGTTTTTGTAAGAGAAAGATAAAAACTAATTTCGGAGCGATTTCTAATATTTTTTCACTGTTTCAAAATTTTTGTTTATTCCAAAATTCATGAGATATTTGCTGGACAGTAGAGCACATACTCTTTTATGAATTTTCATAAATTTTTAGTATGTTGTGAATTTAATTTTTTTTTCCTCGTCGTCTAAAATCACGAAAAAATAGTATATAAAAGAAACACTCACATCCAGCACAAAACCAAAAAGTTCCTTCTCAAAGTTGGACTTTTTAACAATTTCATTGGTGTAATTTTCTTCAAATCCTTCATCTCCTCTCTCGGTTTTGGCTCATATTCTAATTGACAGATCTCTGCGATCTTTTCTCTTGATCTCTCGGCTCGCTCGAACTTTTTCTGAAATATTACTGTTTCAAATTCTAGGCAATTGGGGATCTAACTATATCAAAACGATATTCAGACAATTGTTTCCCCTTTTTAATTTGGGTCATTTGCTCTTAAGGACCCTTAACCTCTTTTATCTCATTTCTTGTGAGAGTTTTCAAAAACTGGTCAACTGATAAAATAATTGAAATTTAATGATAAGCATTTTTTCAGTGAACCATTTTTTGGTATCTTTTACAGGAATCGAGATAATTTTGGTCAAAGTTAAAGATTCCAAAATTTTCAGTTTCACAACCTTATGATTTTCGGTTTGTATTACTCAAACTAGATTAGTGATCCCGTGTCAGAGGTATCTCACCTTTTGCTCCAAAAACACTGGACTTTCTGGAAGATACCAAATCATGGGGAGTACTGTAGCCGAGAGTGTCGCACATAAATACGAGGCAAGTCTCCATTCGCCAGCCAACCAGGACACTCCGACTTGCATCATTCGGGCGTTTGCCTGGAAATTCACGTTTACAATTAGGATTATATCAATAACCACCAATTGTGCAAAAACTTAATTTTTCAGAAATATGAAAAGAGTGAAACATTAAATGTTTTGTGACATACCTATACTTTCACTTTGAGCTCAATTATCTCGGTTCCTATGAGAGATATAAAAAATGTGTCAACAGATAATATGTTGGCAATATTATGATAAACAGTTCATCAGTTGACACATTTTTGACAACTCTTATTGGAACTAAGATAATTGAGCTCAACGGGAAAGTATAGGGTGACCTTCTATTGAAGTCTTTACGGTAATCTAAACAGTAAGGATCAATTATATCCATTTTTGTACAGTTAGTTTAGGTTGAATTTGAAACTGAAAGTATTCAAGTAAAAGAACTCGCCCAATTCGGGAATGTCCTCAATCTAAATCTGCGACTTGGCGTAATCATTTCCGATGAGTACGTCCATCCGACAGTCAACGTTCCAGCAACGGCGAATCCAACAATAAAACGGAAAATATAAAAGTTCATGACCCCATTGATAGCAGCTGATAGGATAAGAGCAGGAACTCCAAGTGCGATAGAGAAAATGAACACAGGACGACGGCCAATGGTATCAGAGAGGTATATAAGGACGAGGTTTCCAAGAAGGGTTCCGATGAAAGTGGCAGTGGAAGAGGAGAAGCTGGAAAAAGAAAAAAAAGTAATGAGCCCCTAGGCGGATTCGAACCCACGAGCTCTCGATCGAAAAACTAGCGCGCTACCTACTGCGCTACGACTGCAGAGGTGGGTACACAAGACTTAGACTATCGTGTGTCGCGTAGCACCGCGACGCGGCGTCATAGTCGAAAAATCCCATCCATGTTTCTCAATTATCTCGATTCCTGTGAAAGATATCAAAAAACTTGTCAACTGATAAAATATTGTTTATGCTATGATGAACAATTTATCAGTTGACAACATTTTGATATCTCCGACTAGATTTGAGATAATTGAGCTCAAGGATACGGTATACTTACTGCTTTAAACCAGTACAATCCTGTTGATAGTCAAATTGAGCTGATCGAAAATCCACTCTTTTGGCATCCAGAACACATTGTTTCTGGAATAGAAAATTTGCTCTACTGCACAATTTTGAAAAATTCAAAAAAAGATTGAAAAAAACACATACAAAATCTGTAGAATTATACGGACAAATTTGGCTATCATCCTCGCGAATGAAGTCCGTTAGGCACTTGTTTTTCATTTTGTAGCAATAGTCATCTGAAACTTTTTTTTTCGAATTTTTCAAATTCCCGCCAGGTTCTCTTACCATCAGTACAGTAAGTTTTCGGCATGTACTCCAGAAAAATGGCAAAAAGCATTTGAACGGAAAAGAAGAGGGTCATTTGGTAGAGGACCATCAGGCCGAGGTCCAGGCGCCATGTTCCTTTGAAGATTACTGTAGTTCATTTGTTTTAGTGATAATGTAGTACCTGTGATACATCCCATTATTCTTAATGGGAACTCTTTGAACCAGAGAATAAAATTATGATGTTTTAAAGGGATAGGGGTGATAAGGTGTGATAACTGATGAAAAAAGAAGGTTTTTAATAGGTTTCGTGGATTTCGTAGAACGTTTAGCATAATTTTTTCTAGATCGTGGAATATAAAAAAAGGCTGAAAATTTTTTAGAAAAAAAAGTGTATTGTTTCACAACACTATATGTGCTCTTTGAGCCCAATTATCTCGGTTCCTATGAGAGATATCAAAAATCTGTCAACTGAAAAAATGTTTATCATATTATCACCAATGTTTTATCAGTTGCCAAAATTTTGATATCTCTTATAGGAACCGAGATAATTGAGCTCAAAAAATACAATTAAAAAACAGAACAATTAAAACATTTATCCCAAGGAAAAAGTTGGTAAAATCATTTGTCCTGCTTTTTTCAGTGCATTACTTCCCACTTTTGAAAGTGCTGCTTTGCCGAAAGTGTCCGCAAATTTTCCGAATTTTTTCGAAAATTTCTTGATTCCTCGTTTCTCGCGAAGATTGGCTAGTTTTGTTGGCTGAAATAGTGGTTACAGTAATTTAAGCTCAATTATCTCGGTTCCATCAAGAGATATCAAAAATCTGATAACTGATTAAATGTTGGTGATAAACTGATAAACATTTTTTCAGTTAACAAAGTTTTGATATCTCTATTAGAAATTGAGATAATCAAGGTTGAAGTG